AATTACCAAATAAATTTATTTTTGTTTTTAATAATTTTTTTTTTCTTCTCTTCCTTCCTCATGAACCTTCTGTACGCCGGTAATCTGCAACCTAGCCACCACCGCGATCTGGAACGGCAGAGAGGGAGTGCTGTCGCTCGTCACCGTTCACCCGCCTGAACAACACCGGGATGGTTTATTGGTTCGTGAGAAAGAAAGAGAGAGAGAGAGATGACGGCAGATCGCGATGCCTAGGGTTTTGAGATCGCGATGCCTTGAGATCGCTATGACGGCAACTCTAGATCAACCCAGATCTTCATCTTCATCAACGAGCAATCTAGATCTTCATCTTCATCGAGAGAGAGAGAGAGAGAGCGAGAGAGAGCGAGAGCACAACGTCAGAAATTACCTCGACACGCCGAAAATCGCCTCCACACTGCCAGAAATCACCTTCATCGAGAGAGAGAGTGTGTGTGAACAGTGTTTTCAGACGGATATATATAATGGCATTTTCGTAAATAATGGAGATTAGGAGGGGCATTTAAGTCATTTTAGCACCCACAACACAGCCGTGCGCTTAAGCTATGAACTTAAGCATCTCCCGACCCACTTTCCAAATAAGTTGAAAATTAGCTTTATTTAAGCTATAAGTTGGTGAAATAATTTTTACCAAACACTCTAAAATAACTTATTTTAAGCTATAAGTGGCTTTAAGCTACAAACAAGTTTTACCAAACGGGGCTTGAGTTTTAATCCAAATAAAAAATTAATAACTTGTAAAATTAAATTTGACTCACTTATATAACGAGTCGAGTTAGAATATGTTGATAGATTTTACAACGTTAGGCATAAGTCTACCAAATGGGCAAAAATGATATTTAACAATTTGAATATTAGCCCAAATCCTACAATTATAAACACAACCTTCTAAAGGCTGATGGCAAAATCATAAATATCATTTTTGCCCACAATCCACTTGTATTCAAAGTTCACTACATGTATACAAATCCACCAGCAGTATGAGAAAATAGTAAAAATGTTGCTCTATCCAGATCAGATATTCAAAAGCTAAAACAAGGAATGCAGATTTGTTAGGAACAAAGACACCCAGAGAATTATCTCACACACACAGAGAACACAATATTTACGTGGTTCGGCCCAATGCCTACATCCACGGACAGAAATGGGAATTATCACTAAAATGGAGCAAAAATACAATAACAGAGGAGGAGATGAAACTCACTCAACTCACAGCTCTCACTCTCCAATTTCTGATGATACAAACCCCTCCTCACTCATCTCAATTTATAACCAAGAGAGGAGGAGTAGGTGAAGTGCTAGCCATAATTGGCCAAGGTGGTGCCACCCCCACTATCTTCCATTAGTGAGTTAGTGTTGCCCTCCACCACCTTCTTTTACCACCTAGTGCCACCCACACTATGTGGATGGTGGGCTCTTTACCATGTGGGTAGTGGATGGAGCCAACAATTCTCCCCCCCACGCCCACATGGACAACTGACTTCTCACTTGAAGTCCATCCCGATCAGATGCTTGCAAACTTCCAGTTTGTCTCTGGTGACACCCTTGGTCATCATGTCAGAAGGATTCTTATCTGTGTGGATCTTGATCAGTTCCAATAACTGCTTGTCCATCACTTCACGTATCCAACGATACCGAACATCAATGTGCTTTGTGCGAGAATGGTACATTGAATTCTTGCTCAAGTCTATGGCACTCTGGCTATCACAATGTACCGCAAACTTTTCTTGCTTTAATCCCAACTCTAGGAGAAACCGTTTCAACCACAACATTTCTTTCCCGGCTTCCGCTGCGGCAATATACTCTGCCTCGGTTGTGGATAAAGCAACACACTTCTATATTTTTTTTCGTAAATATCATATCTAATTATAAAAAAAAAATTAATTTTTTTTTCAAATATAAATATTTTAATTTACTAAAATAATCAAAACTAAAATAGTGAATTTTCAATCCAAGCCTGAAATTGAGAGGCGAATCATTCAATCCAAACAGAGAGGACTATGAATTGCTAAAGTGGACCCTACCATACCGCATTGATTTTTAAAAGCGTAGTTATGTCCGGACCACAGTAAGACGAAGGACAGGTTATGTTTGGCGTTGGTTATTTTGATTATTTTAATTATAAAAAATAAAATATAGTAAAAAAATAATAAAATAAAATATTATATCTAAATTATAATTATTTTATTTTTTTTCTAAAAAAAATTATTTTAAATTAGATTTTTTAATCTCAGATTAAAATAATTAAAAAATTAAAATTAAAAAACCGACCTCCCAAACGAAGGGAGAGAGAGAGAGAGAGAGAGATGGAAAAGGCAAAGGAGGAAGAGAGGGAAGGTGAGAGAACAAAAAAAACATAGTCATCAATTGTTGTTTTGAAAATTCAACTGCTCCAAATTCTCCAATTTCTTTTCACCAATTCCCTCAAGAATAAAAACCCACCTCCCAAACCCTTCATCCTTCAATACCCAGATCTCATTTTCCTCTGATTTCTATCAAATTGCCTCTGCATCCGATCCATCTCTCATGCCTTTCCAATGGTGTTTTTGGCCTTTTTTTGCAACAAGAACACATCAAATTCTTCACCTGCTTGTACAAAAATCTGCTCTTATCAGTCTTGTTGTAGCCTTTAATTCTTCTCTCTTTCTCTCTCTCACAATTTTATTCTGATTGTTTTAATTACCCCTTTCTTTCTTTAAGTCTCCCGGTTCAATTTCAAATTTTCAAACCCATTTCATTAAATTCAGCTTCTTTCACAACCCAACTATTTTCCCACACTTTCCAGGAAAAACAAATAATTTTCTCCACAAGTGGACTCTTCCTGTTTCTCTGAGCCTCCCAACTTCAAATTCCCATCTTGATCTACCTAACTTGTTGGCAATTGAGCCATGGGAATTCAAAAAGACACAGTCAAATTCAATGTTAGAGGCAAGATCTTCGAAACCACAACAACAACACTTGCCAATGCCGGCCGAAATTCCCTCTTCGGCGCAATGTTCGACGAGAATTGGAACCTCCAAACCCACAATTTCGATGAATACTTCATCGATCGAAACCCGGATTGCTTTGCAGTCCTACTAGACCTACTCAGAACTGGGGAGCTCTGTATCCCTTCCAACATCCCTGAAAAGCTCCTCCACAGAGAAGCCCTGTTTTACGGCCTCCTCGACCATGTCCGGATGGCGAAATGGGGCCAATTCGATGGAAACAGGCTCCGGTTTTCGCAGTCTGTGACGGGCCAAGCACCTGGCGACGGCACCGCCATCCGGGCCGGCCCGGATGGTGGGTGCTGTGTAGTACATGGCAGTATGGTACATGTCTATGATTGGATGCTAGAAGAGCACCCCCCAATCAATCTTGACTACCAGAGAGTTAATGATGTCGGTTGGATTGAATCGGAGACTGTTGTGGTCACCGCGTGTGAGCGGTTAGGCCGTGGCGGTGGCGGGATGGGTCTGTTTAGTGCAGGAACGGGGGAGCTCAGGCATAGATTTCAAGTCACTCATGATGATCAAGTGAAAAGCTACACAGCTGGTGCTTTGAGTTTTAGCTCAGATTACAAGATTTTTAGTAGTTGTAAAGGTAGGAGCAATGAGTATGGGATTGGTGTTTGGGACCAAATCACTGGAAAACAGATTGATTTTTACTATGAGCCAATTGGGTGGTCACTGGGTGAGGCTGATAGGCTGCAATTTTTACATGGCACTAACTGTTTGTTAGTTGCAACTCTGTTTCCTAGGAAGGACAATTGTTACATTAGTCTGTTGGATTTTAGGGAGAAAAGTATGGTTTGGTCTTGGACTTGAGGAGACCGGATCGATATGCGTGGTGAATGAGTATGAGGATTTGGGGTTCATGGACTTGAGGAGTAGTGGTGGGAGTGTGAGGTGGTGCTCAAGGAGCCGGTTGATGAAAGGGAAGATGCCTGAGGAACCATGTTACCCAAAACTCGCATTGCACGATGAGCAGCTTTTTTCGTCTATGAATGATAGTATTTCAGTGTTTTGTGGTCCAGATTGGGTGTTAACATCGAGGCTTCGCCAAAGTTATGGTGGTTCAATTTGTGATTTTTCGGTTGGTGGTGATAGGCTTTTTGCTCTTCATAGTGAGGAGAATGTGTTTGACATATGGGAGACGCCGCCGGCGTCGATCACTTAATTGTGTGTGTGTTTTTTTTTTTTATTTTGGTCTTAATTGCTTTTCTAGCCTTTTTGTCTGTTAATGTACACTAACCTAACCCACTAACCTAACCCACTACATCCACCCCACTAAACCTAACACACTTACCATCTCCACTACCACCCACCACCTCCACTACCATCCACTACCACCACTCACTAACCCAAACCCTCTCCTATATAATGCCACTCTGATTTGTAATACAATATATCAATACAACAATCTTGTAACACATCAATCAGAATACAATCAATCAATAATACAATTCTCTTTATACATTGAATTTCAACATTGTCTTTAAATTTGTAGAAGATGGAGTTGGAGATGATGCTTATTGGCTAGAAGTTTAGGGTATGTGCTGTGTGTAAATGACAAAGTAATGAAACTGATTGCTCAACTACCATAATTTGAAATCTTTGTTTCCCTCCACTAAATGCATTTACACTCAATTTCTGATGATACAAACCCCTCCTCACTCATCTCAATTTATAACCAAGAGAGGAGGAGTAGGTGAAGTGCTAGCCATAATTGGCCAAGGTGGTGCCACCCCCACTATCTTCCATTAGTGAGTTAGTGTTGCCCTCCACCACCTTCTTTTACCACCTAGTGCCACCCACACTATGTGGATGGTGGGCTCTTTACCATGTGGGTAGTGGATGGAGCCAACAAGATTCTTAAATCCTAAAATAAGACAATCCAAATCCAAGCTCAGAAGAAACCTCCGAAATGAAAAATTAAAAAAATGTAAGGACATCTATATGTTTCATCTGGACATAAAATAAAATTGATGCACATGCTTTCAGGTTAAACTCTGTGGCCATGCAACCTTAGCAGCTTCACACTTTCTATTCACATCTGGTTTGGTAAATGGAAATGAAATCGAGTTTATGACACTATCAGGAGTTTTGACTGCTAAAAGAATTCCAGAAGTCAAACAAACACATTCCTTGAACTTGAAGAACAATAGTAGTGAAGAATCACAGGATTGTTTTTCAATTGAGTTGGATTTTCCGGTAGTCCCACTTGTTGAATCCGATTCTTCTACAGAGGAGGAGTTTCTATCAATTTCTAAAGCCTTGAATGTTGCTTCCGTGATTGACTTCAAGAAAACCGGTGCACAAGACCACATTGTATGTTTTCTTGATTCTTAGCCAATTTATAGTCTACTCACAAGTATGCAACTTTGTATTTGGATTGAAACTACATATAAATGAAAAAAAAAAATGATGGTTAGATTGCAAAGATATTCAGATTAAGGTGATATATATGTATTTGGGCAGGTTGTGCTTGGATTGGGAAAGACTGTAGCAGATCTACAGCCCCAGTTCGACGAAATACAAAAATGTCCAGGAAGGGGACTCATTGTTACAGGGCCTGCTCCTGCAGGATCTGATTTTGACTTTTTTAGTCGCTTTTTCTATCCAAAATTGGGAGTCATGGAGGTAATATAAACTACTTCATGAGTTCTATCAGTTCATTTGATCTTTAATTTTTAGCCAAGTTTGCCCTTTGATTTTGTGGGTAAACAAAACATTGTCTTCATCATTCTTGAACTTTGCATGTACTTTTAAAATGTAAAAGACCAGAAATCTTCATATGGTCTGTGGTTGTAGTTTGTAGACAAAGTACTGCACATTGGGTTTGTTTCTTTTTTTCCCACTCATATGTTACTGGAAATGTTACATTTCAGGATCATGTTTGTGGGAGTGCACATTGTGCCTTAGCAGTCTATTGGTCTAAAAAGTTGGGGAAAAATGATTTTGTTGCATATGCGGTAATCTCTCTCTCTCAATTATTCAGCAACACCACGTTGATAGTGTAACTGACTAATAGCAACACACGTTGATAGTGTTTTGAGAAGACTGAATAATTTATGAGAAAATGTTATGAACTCCAAATAAATTATCAAATTTCTTATCAAATCTCTCACAAAAAAAAATTTGATAATTTATTTGGAGTCCCTAACATAACTCTAATTTATGCTCTCTCACTTCCGTGCCTCGATTGCGTGGTTTTTGGTTCATTCATGAGTTGTACTGTTTACTTGATGCAGGCATCACCAAGAGGTGGGACGCTAAACCTCCATTTTGACGAAAAGAGACAGAGAGTGCTACTTAGAGGGAAAGCCATCACTGTAATGAAAGGTTGTCTTTTAATTATTTAGGAGCTAAGTTACCCCATATTTGCTTCTGTGAAATGAGTCAATTGAAATAAAAGGCCACCGAGCAGCAACAACGACGACGACGACAAAAAAAAAAAAAAAAAAAAAAAAAAAAAAAAAAAAAAAAAAAAAAGGCCACTCGTGAACTACATTTGATTTTATTTGAGAATTAATGTACTGTACTATTTGCATTTTGGTTCCTGTGTTTCCAAAAAGATCTATGGCTTTTTTATTCAGAATTGACACATTAAAAATGTGGATATTAAAATGCCTGTCTTAACTCGATGAATAGATGTAATGATGGGCCCTTCCCCCAATTGAAACATGAATATTGCATGCATGGAGACATTTGATGTTTTTAGTTAGTTTAGATTGCTTAAAAATCTCATGTGATATGGTGTCGTCTTCTATATCTCTTTGAAAATAATACATTATGTCAAACATATTATTAACTGGAGTGGAGATAATAAAATGATGATGATTTAAATCAATACTGAATGATGTTTTCAGTATTGATTTTATCACTTTAAACTAACTGCTTATATTTTTAAAAATGTCATTATCACATCACATTATTTTCATTAATAGTTTTGCATGAAAATTACGAATAGAAAGAAATGGACAAGGGAGATGGCATTTAAATTTTCAATTCTATTGATGCGATCTGCCTCCTCAAATAAACTTGATTTATTATTATTATTATTATTTCCTTCTAAACTTGAGCTCTGTTTCGAGGTCAAGGCAAAGGTGAATCCAGCCGTCATAGAAGGGAGATAATCTATGTCGGGGAATCATTGGGGTAACTTAATTTATCAGACATTTGAATTCCAAAAATGATTTATATTTCCCAAAGAAAAAAATAGTTGAATAGTGAAAAACAAAACATAAAGATAAGAAAGACTATTGGAGAAAGACAGAGCACTCAACAATGCCACATGACTACTTGGGAAAGTTGGAATGTTTCGTTTCACCCACATATGCCTTGTGTCTTTGCTTGGCATTCTCACATGTTTACAGGTGTGTTTGTCCACTTTTCAGGAGTGGTCTGGAACAATCCAAATAAGTGCACTTTTTAACTTTTTATGAAATATAAGTTGGATTTTAAGTGATGTTATAGAAAGGTGATATCATTTAAATAAGATAGTGATTTTTTTAACTTTTTGATTTTTTTAAGTTAAGACAAACATATAGCTCCACTCATTAATATTAATTAACTTTGAACTTGATTCGAAATTTGATAATTTGTTGTTTTTTGTTATTATTTATATGACCTAAATATATAAATAATTATATTTTTGTTTTATTATTTAAATAAATATTAAATGAGTTGAACTTATTCAAACAAATTCCAACTCTACTTGTATATTAAATGAGTTCAAAATTTTCACTCAAACTTATTTCTTTACTTAACGAATTAAATCGAACCAAGCTCTTACCAAATTGAACCGAGCTGAGTTCGCAAACAACACAATCATTTACGGCCCTAAATAGAAGTCTAATCAAACTAGTCCAATCTTCACCTAATCAAACTATACAAGTCCATTCTTCTTCTAGCTGTAAATGTTCCATTTGGCCATCTGTCCTTTGCTTTTGGGGCTCTGATATACGTGCATGTGATTTCAGGCCCCATTTCTTTCTCTTTTTCGTTCCTTTTCTTTCGGGGAAATGAGCTCTAAATCTAGAGCTCTAATGATGTGTCAAAAAAAAATAAAAATAAATAAAATAAAACAAAACACAAACATCACATCAGGATGGGTCTCACTTTCCCATTAGAGCTATTAGAGCTCTTATATTAGAGCTCTAAAACATTTTTGTTTCTTTCGTGTTACAATTCCCTTCAATTCATAGACACACAAATAGACAGAGATGTTTTGTTTTGCCCCCGAAAATGACTCATTGGTCAAAATCTCAGATGTAAATTTTTTATTTTATTTTATTTTTTTATAAAAAAAATGGACCAAATTTAACTTTACTCTAAAAACCTGGGCTAAAAAAACTACAAGATTAAGTTAAAAGAAAATGTTATTCTTTAGCAATTTTTTATACACACTCATTCATCATAATGATGTGTCAATGATAATTTCGATATTAAAAAGCATCCTTAATTAGTAAAAAAAAAATTTAAGTGATGATCACCATTAATGGAGATGCTAAAAGAGTAAAGACTTAAATTAATATGGAATGCAGTAGTTGGATGTAAAAATAATAATTCATGCAGCTAATCTCACTTGATTGGAATACAAGATTTAGTTTGATTTGATTTAATTAGATTAAGCCTCGTTTGGCAAGTGCTTATTTTGGTTTAAAAGTCAAAAAGTTACTTAAAAAATCAAAAAATTTATAACCTGTATCAAAAAGTCAAAAATTCTTTTTTCTTTCTACTTTTTGCACATCTTTTCATAAAAAAATTCAAAAGTTATTCTAAACATACTAGTATTTTTATTTCACATTTTAGCTAAAAAGTTACAAAGTTACTAAAATAGCATGTTCCCAAATGAAAGTTTATAATTTTGCCACATCTTTCTTAATATATATGTATTTTATATGTCATTACTCTGTACATAATTTTTAATTGTATACTATTTACTCTTAATAAAAATTTATAGACGGAACATCCAAATTAAGAAAATATGGATTTGGATTGCCATTATCGGATTTGTTAAATTGGAATTCAAATGGATGGCTAATTAGAATATACATTTTATTTCTGAAACCGATCTGAAAGGGCATTTACTCTAATGGGCCAACCCAACCCGATCCAAGGGCCCAGTAACAAAGATACCTGCGTCCTGAAGCCCGTACTCCGTATGGTCCTTCTTCGTTTCTAAATTGAATGCATTTCACATTCACCCCATTCCATCCACATGATTAACCTAACACCCCCTCACCCACCCAAACCCACCATAAATAAATAATAAATAAATCCTAATCCAAACATAAGCCTCCGTTTGGGAAGTGGGTTGGCTTTTTGGCTTTTTGACTTTTTGGCTATTTTAACCTGGGCTATTTTAGCCTGGTTTGGGAAGGGCTTTTTGACTTTTTGACTTTTTTGGCTTTTTTTGTGAGAGAGGATTGTAATGATTATGGGTTCGATTTGATGTTTTACAAAAAATTGATTAAATCATAAAAACATGCACTAAAAATAAATGAAAACTCATCTAAAAACAGTTTTTGAAAAGTCAAACCAAACAGACACGAAAATTGTGATATTTTTTAGTTTCGGTTTAATTTTTGAATTTAAAGAGGCATTTATGGAGTGGCGTGGAAATAAAAGAGAATGGAACTATGAATGATATAAGCAATTTTTTTCTTTCATATCTCCCTTGTTTTCATAAATCTTTCCCCAAATCTAAGACTAAATCACGTCTTAAAAAAAAAAAAACACAACTAACAAGCACGTAACTTAGCTGGTGAAGGGCTATGCTAACTTAACCAAGATCTCAAGTTTGAGACTTGGGAACGCAGCTGTATTAAAAACTTGTTAGGAGAGCTTTGCCGTCTTTGTGGTCCTACCTGGCTCGAACCGGATTAGCCGGGATCCTGTGGACTTCCGAATACCGGTGGTTTAGACCTGAAAAAAAAAAAACCGCTAAGCAGTGTTTGGCATAAATTTTTATGCTTAAAATAATTATAAAAAGATAAAATAAATTAAAAAATTAATAAGACAAAATATCACATCTAAATCATAATAATTTTATTTTTTGTGTTATACAAGTCAAAAAAATTAAAAAATTTATCTCAACTAAGATATTTTAATTCTAAATTAAAATAGTTAAAAAATTAAAAAGTGAATTCACATATCAAAAGAAGGCAGAGAAGCAGCCAACAACGTCAAACCGAAAGAAATAAAATAAAGAAAAGAATGCATAACAAGGCAAAAGAAAGGACAGGAAAAAATGTTTTTTCAACGTGTGTCCAGTGTTTGGATCACTTAAAATATCAGTTCTTTATAAATTTTTTTCAATAAAGAGATTAGATTCGTAAAAAATAATAATACAAATAAATTACATTACAAATGAAATTATTATCACTACTATAAAGAAATCATCATTCAACCAAAAAATATTTACAAAAAAAAAGTAATACCAAAAAATCTAAATAAATGATCAAATATTCACATCGATATGGGTCTTACGTAATTGATAATTTATTTAGAATCTCTAGTATTTTTATTTAAATATATATACAAAACTTTATAAATAATAATTTACAATTTTAATGTGTGAAAATAATCATTAATAAAATTTAACAAGATTCATTAAAGAAAATAAGATATCATTCACTAGCATGAACCATAAATATACATGTCACAACAATGATAATGGTGGTGGAGTCACAGGCTGCCCACGTTGCCAGGGCCAAAGGAATCCGTCCCCATCCCCAATTGTACACTTCCCTTACCCAACAATGACTCCCGGTCCCCTTCCCAACTTGGCACCACATTAATTTCATTTGTACTATCCCCTCCCCCACTTTTAATATACGTTTTCCTTTTAATTCTGTGTTTAGTTATGAAATTTAAAAAAGAAAAATAAAAATATATATATACTTATATTTCACTTAATTTCATATTTTTTTTTCTTTTTCTTTTACAAATTTTTTTTAAAATCTCTCAATTAAACACAACGTAAATGCCAATTGAATTTAAATAAAATTTTCATTTAGAATAAATTTAGATCATATATTGATGCTCATAAATAGACAAAATAAAACAAGATCATATGTTAATATTTATATATGTATATTTTCTATCAATCGAATGCTGGCAAAAATGGACAAAGAAAACAGGTGTTCACAAGACGTCCGCCCGATGCCACCAAAGCATTACCGAACAAGATTGCTTAGGCAATGTGTTTAGTTTGAGTTTTTTGAATTAAGTTTTTTAAAAATTAAATTTTTGTATTTTTGTATTTTTTTTGTTTTTAGTTAATATTTTTAAAATTTTAAACATTTTTTTTATTTTTTTAGATACATCTTATTTAGATGTATCTAAAAAGTGAAAATTTTGTTTTTAAAAATTAATAAATACATAAAAATGTAAAAAAAATGTAATGAATTCTCGTATTTTTTTATATTTTTGGTAGTTAGTGAATTTTTAAAAAGTTTATTTCACAAATTTTTTATTGTTTAGGTATATTTATGTTAAGTATGTCTAAAAAATGAAAAAAATTACTTAAAATATTAAAAAATTCAGTAAACACAAAAAAACACGAAAAATAAAAATGTAAAATTTTTAAAAAAAGTTTTTGAAAAACTCTGACCAGCACGGATAATACATGGGTTCACAACCCCTTATAGATGTTCTTCCAATGCCAAACCCAACACTAACAACTCAGGGTTGGTTTAGAGAGTGAGTTGATTTTTTGATTTTTTGACTTTTTTTATTATTTTAACCTGAACTAAAAAGTTTGATTTATGAAGGACTTTTTGATTTTTTGACTTTTTTTACTTTTTTTTATAAAAAAAAAATATCATAATTATGAATTAAATATGATATTTTATTTATTATGATTAAAATAACTTATTTTATCTTTTATAACTATTTTAATCACAAATCATCTTCCGAACCGGATCCTTAACAAGCCAAGCACCGACGACCGACACCCGCCATACTTTAAAGAGATACTTTTAAGATGATAAAGTTCCATTCATTCCTTCCCATCTTTTTCTTTTTTTTGTTTTTTTTTCTTTGTTTTTTTTTTAAACCACGGCTAAAGAGAAAGGAAAAAGAACAACATAACCATATTCAAATAAAATGCAGCCAAAGCAGCAGAGCATAATTTGCTCTTATTTACCTATTTGTTCCTAGTTAAATCAAACCCTCTCTAAGAACAACAATATACCCCTATAAACAACAGCCACGTTACCAAAATTGCCTGACACTACGACCGTAACACAGGTGATGATACATAACTGTAATTTTAAAATTTTAAATGGAATTCTAGTAAGGATCGTTTAAAATGACCTAAATAAGTATATTTTTTATCTTTTTATAAGAAGATGTACAAAAAAAAATAAAGAGGTGATGTAATAAAAATAGTAAAAAAAATAAAAAATTGAATTATTTTCAATTTTCCAAACTTGGCTTAAATGAAAAAGAGAAAAAGAAAAGAGTATGAATTCCAACTTTAAATAAACACTCTTCACATCATTAAAATTATATTAAAACTTTCAAATTAAAATTTTCAAACATTATTCACCTCAACACTCCCAGAAAAGAACAAAATAAATGTATAAATACTAGTCAAAGTAATCAATGAAAATTATTAATAAGAAAAAAAATAGTACAGGCCAAAGATGGAGGATTTGCCATTTAATTGGATTTAACAAGACCAATTTTGTCATTTTCATAATTTCATCCCACTTTCCTACCCATGCATCTTCAGATCTCATGTGTAGTGTCGGTGGTTTTTCCTCTACTTCATTTATTCATGTCCTTGATTGACTGAGTACTGTATGTAATTTTACATTTATCAAACACAACAAAACACATTCTGAACATCATTATCAAAATGACAACATCAATTGAATTCAATATCACCTAATTTTTTTCTTATTATTTTCAAAGGCAAAATTAATAAAATAGAATACAAATCGACCTAAGAAGAAGATAAAAGAAGATAGAAGAAAAATCAAAAATTGAAAGATAAATAAAATACGAGAAAAATATAAACAAACAATTGTAAAATGGTGATGAGAACATAATAAAAAAAAAATTAAAAAAGTAACTGAGAAACTTTACCGGCAAGTCCGATCTACATTTTCACGGTGAGTGTTCGTACAAGTCGTAAGGTAACCAAAGAGAGTCCAATGGGCACGATTGTTTGGAGTCGAGCCTGAGCCACGGCTTGCCACTCCCGCTCCAGTGAAGGAGGCTCACCGGACCGGCGTGTAGGTCACGACAACTACCTCTCAAGTTATCTCCGCCCAAGCCGTGTTGATTCCACCGGTGCTCGATGGCCGCCACGTGTCCAGCGAAGACCAGCAGGAACGGCGGGAGCGAGCCGAGCTCGTAGATCCGACCACTCTTCTGGATCTGCATCCACCTCTCGATCCGCTTCGTGTACCCGAACCGCCTCCACTTCTCCAGATCCATCACCATCACTCCGGTGTTGAAGTAGCAAGGGCTCTGGCCGGCGAACGTACCGGAAAACCGATTGTCAGACCAAAAACTCGCCGTAATACTTGCTGAAGTTGGCGTGACAGTACTCCGGAGCTCCGATGGTCTTACCTCCCAAGCTTGTACTCCAGAGCTTTCAGATATCGTCGACGACTACGAGATCAGAGTCAGTATATAACTCTGCGAACACAGGTCTCGAGTAGATCGGCTAAGTAATTCCTTGCGTAATAGCCACTCCCGCTCCAGTGAAGGAGGCTCACCGGACCGGCGTGTAGGTCACGACAACTACCTCTCAAGTTATCTCCGCCCAAGCCGTGTTGATTCCACCGGTGCTCGATGGCCGCCACGTGTCCAGCGAAGACCAGCAGGAACGGCGGGAGCGAGCCGAGCTCGTAGATCCGACCACTCTTCTGGATCTGCATCCACCTCTCGATCCGCTTCGTGTACCCGAACCGCCTCCACTTCTCCAGATCCATCACCATCACTCCGGTGTTGAAGTAGCAAGGGCTCCGGCCGGCGAACGTGCCGGAAAACCGATTGTCAGACCAAAAACTCGCCGTGAAATACTTGCTGAAGTTGGCGTGACAGTACTCCGGAGCTCCGATGGTCTTACCTCCCAAGCTTGTACTCCATAGCTTCCAGATATCGTCGACGACTACGAGATCAGAGTCCAAGTATATAACTCTGCGAACACAGGTCTCGAGTAGATCGGCTAAGTAATTCCTTGCGTAATTTAGAGGCTGTTCTAGTGCTTGCCTAACCGAAGTCGAGATCAGGCTCCGCACAATCTCCGGATCGAAGTAATAGACTTTGAACTTTAATTGAGGGAAAGTGGATCGGACTAGGGTTTCGAGATTGGTCTCTGAAACGAGAAAGTGAAAGAATATGTTCTCGGAACACAAAGAATGCCGAAGAATCGAATGGACGGCAGCGATTGAACCTCGAAGGTACTCGACATCGAGAGTAATCGCGACGTGAACGAGAGAGGGATCGCAGACATCTGTTTTCCCCAATATTTTGCGGTCATTGGAACTGCATTCCTCTGCATTACGGAATGCAGTTGCCTTCCTGAAAGACAATCGATTGAGGGAATCAACGGCTGTAATCTGACTTGAAAACCGAAGATTAGATGATCTAATGGCTTCAGCCGGTGGAAATGAATGAAGAGATGGAGAGAAAACAACCATCACCATTGCAGCGAAGAAAAACCAGGACAATCTCATAATCCAAAGCATCTTCACACGGTAAACCCCTCTTCTCTTCTTCTTTTTCGATTTAAAGTCAAAACGATCCGCTAAACGAGTAGAGATTGAAGCAACAATGAACGCTAGGGTTCCTTTGAGGTCCGCCAGAGTTAGAAAGAGAAAGATTGCTCGAATCCAATCGTTCTCTCTCTCTCTCTCTCTCTAATCGGATGCCGTGTGAACGAAGCGACCTTCGAGGAAAGAGAGAGTAGAGAGAGCAGAATTCATGAAACCGAACCAGAGAAGAAAAGAATGGCCTGGCGCTAGTGTGCGCTGCAGTCTTTCCCTCTTTCTCTCTCTTGTTTGGAGAAGGTGAAGCAGAGCACAGAGCTACAAGTCGATAGAGGGAGAAAGATGGGAACTTTCTTCTTGTTTTAGAAGCATTGCATTTTCCACCATAGAAATCAAGAGCCAAGCATCGTAGATTCGTAATCATACGGTGTTTTAGTTTTAAAAATTGTTTAGGATTTATTTATTTAATGTATTTTTTTTATTTTTTTATAAATTCATTCAAAATCTTATAACTCCTCCCTCCCCAAAAAAAAAAATAAATAGTATGAAACACAAAAATAAATAAATAAAAATATAGGGAGAGGAGCTTTTGTAGAAGGCGAGCTTTTGTAGAAGGCGAGAGAGAGGACCAGCTGTAGTTGTCTTCTCTGAAAATGACAATAGCGTCCAAGCGGCCTCGTAGATGGATACAGAAGAGGCATACATGGTGTCTTGCACACGTCACTCATTTCACTTGTTTGGTAACTTGGTTTCTTTTATCCTGGAAAATCCCACTTTGATTATCTCAACAGTTTTGAGTAAAAAAGGATTTGAGTGGGAATATTATTTGATGTGTTTGATTTAAGTTTTTTTAATTTAATTTTTTAAAAATTGAATTTTTTATTTTTCATGTTTTTTGTTTTTAATGAATATTTTTAAAATTTTAAATAATTTTTTTACTTTTTTTTATGTATCTTACTTAGATGTATCTAAATAGTAAAATATTTGTGAAAAAATATTTTAAAAAATTAATAAATACGCAAAAATAGAAAAATATACTGAATTTTTATATTTTTGGTATTTAATGAATTTTTTAAAGATTTTTTTCACAAATATTATACTTTTTAAGTTTATTTATGTTAAGTGTGTCTAAAAATTACTTAAAATATTAAAAAAATTCATTGAAAACAAAAAAAATACGAAAAATTAGAAAGTAAAATTTTCTTAGAAGTGTTTTCTTGAAACCAAAACCAAACAAGCTCATTTCTTTTTCTTTCTTTTTTTTTTCTTTTTTGTGCATATTTCTAAATTTACATTTGCCTGATTAATAAGCTTTAAGTTATGCTTGGATAGCAAGAATAATAATAAGAATGTGAATCTTATCACCATAAATTTTTTCAGCGAATCTACTTGGTGCTGAAGATATGTGAGTTTTGTTCATGAGTATGGAGAGGAGGACTATAGATTTGGTTGATGAGAGAAAAAGTAAGCTGTGGTTTTGTTATGAGATCTATTCTTTTTTTTTTTTTTTGGTTCTTTTTTTCTTGGCTCAGATTTTGTTGTTGTTGTTGTAGTTAATGATGTTAATGTTGATGATGACGAAACATATTGTTGTAGATAGTATAGGGTTTGGCTTCGCTTGGTTGGTATTGAAACAGATAAGGTGTTTGTTTGGCTCACCAGATAGAATTTTGTTTAGCTTCATATTTCAATAGATAGAAAGAAAAAAAAAAATTGAACAGATAGAATTTAAAGGAAAAAATGAACAAATAATAAAATTTGAACAGATAAGGGAAAAAATTTGAACAGATGGTTAAAAATTTTGAATAGATAATCAAAAAAATTGAACACATAGACAAAATATTTGAACAGATAGGCAAAAGTTTGAACAGATAGAAAAAAAAATGAACGGATAGATATAAATTTAAACAGATAGTCAATGGAAAGTCAAACAGATAAAAAAAAAGTAAAGGGGTAAAATTAGAAACAAAATGTTCATCTAGATTTCTCATCAAATTATTTCACAAAGTGTGGACTTATCACCAATAAAGAAATTTATTAGACCTAATAGCTTATACCTTTCTTAAATTGAATTTATCATTAATTTTCTCTATTATCTCGTAAAAAACTTACTTTTAAATTATTGATATTATTCTATGATGGAAGTGTGAGATTATTATGAAAAAGTGTACTATTCCAGCTTGAGCAGGACATTAGGGGATATAGATTATCTCTATTTCATGACTAAAATGAAATGAAAATTCTCATGGTTAAGAAAAAACAACCCAAAAAAAAAAAAAATGATTTTAAATTAAAAAAGTTAAGGAAAATTGTAGTGCTTATAATAAGAAGTTAGTTGTAGATAGTTGATTTTGTTCTTATATGATATGTTGCAATCTTGTGAAATAAAATAGAGTTCTCCATTCAATTTATTAAATAGAGTGAATTAAAATTCAAAATCAATTTTTCATTTTATTCCACAACAAAAAATGGGATGGCCAAATTTCATACCATATTTGTCTGCTAGAAGAAAATAAAAGTTACACAATCAAAATAAATCGAATTAGGATGACAAGAAAGAAAAAATATATATATATATTGGGAGTATTTGTCAATTTCATCATCTATTATACAGCTCCTCATTTGTTGTTGTGAGTAAATTTTTTAAATATTTTAATATTAGTGACGTTATACATATTTTATTTTTTTATCTCATTTTCTAACGCTAGTTATAAGATAATAAAATTCACATTAATAAATGCACGTGAAAGTCAATTAGTTATACCTAAATGTGAAAAAATTATATAAGAATTGGGATTATATATATAACACTTTTCTTTCCATATACATAACTTTTCCTGTGTAAATTAATATAAAAAGTAAAAAAGAATTATGAAATATATCCAATAAAAAAAAAAAAAAAAAAAACTTATGGACTAATGGTTGATAATGGGTATTTACACCAACACAAGTCCATAGATTTAAGGTGGAATAAAGCTTTGACTAATCAATAATTAAAGAAGGAAACCATAATTATGAGATCTGAAGATGGACCAAATCAAGCATAAACCTGAAATGAACATGGCACCAAGATCGCATTAGCTTACGGGCCATGTGATTAATCCCCATCTTACAAACTGTGATTTGAATTACATTTGGTTCAACTTTCAACAATAATAAATGGGATTTTTATTAATAAATCTCATTTAGAAGTGTTTTAACTTAAAGAAGTTCATGAAGAAATTTTTTAACCCATTTATATAGTTTTATTCCATAAAGTCATTTTTCTTACTTTACACTATTTTCTTGGACACTTATACCCTTATATTTAATTTTGATATATTTATAAATATTTTTCGAACGGTTAGCAATTCTATAATGTGAACATTCATATTTTAAAATTCACAATGGTATGAATATAAAATTGGCCCGTGGGCTGCCCGAAACCCGCACACGAGCCGGGGCGGGCTCGGCCCATTGACAATGTAAATATTCACATTGACATGTTAATATTCACATTAATAGGAGTGTAAAATTGGTCCGCGTCCCGTGGTGGCGCGAAACCCGCCCGCGGCCCATGGACGGCCCGGGACTGGCCCGGTCCGGCCAGTTGACAATGTGAATATTCACATTGATATATTAACATTTACATTGATAAGAGTATAAAATTGGCCTGCGGCTCGGGGCAGGCCCGACCCGTTGACAATGTGAATATTCACATTGATAAGAGTGTAAAATTAGCTCGCGACCCGTGGCTGCCCGAAACACGCCCACGGCCCAGGGCAGGCCCGGCCCGCCCTGTTGACAATGTGAATATTCACATTGACATGTTAACATTCACATTGATAAGAGTATAAAATTGCCCAGCGGCCCAGGGCGGGCCCGACCCGACCCGTTGACAATGTGAATATTCACATTGACATGTTAACATTCACATTAATAAGTGTGTAAAATTGGCCCGCAGCCCGTGGACAGCCCGAAGCCCGACTGCAGCCCGAAGCGGGCTTGGCCCGACCCGTAACAATGTGAATATTCACATTGACATGTTAACATTAACATTGATAGGAGTGTAAAATTTGCCCGCTGCCCGAAGCTCACCCGCGGCCCGGGGTAGGCACGGCCCGGCCCGTTGACAATGTGAATATTTACATTGACATGTTAACATGCACATTGATAGGAATGTAGAATTGGTCCGCGGCCCGTGGGTTGCCCGAAGTCAGCCCACGGCCTGGGACAGGCTCGTTTGGGTCCGGGCTCGAGCATGTCCGAGACCTTAGGTTAGGGCCTTGACCATCACTTTGAAGCCTGGCCCCGCCCATTGGCCCGTTTAAGGCCCATTCAAGGCTCGGTCCGAGGCCCAGCTTGCGCCGAGGCGCAATGTCTTTTTTTGTGAAAAATAATAAAATTTTGGTAGAAAAAGTTAAAAAGAATTAAAAAAAAATGGTCAGGCCCGCCCAAGCCCGACCTAAGCTCGAGGCTAGGCCCAGGCCCACCGGCCCGACCCGAGGATATTCGCATTGTCAACGGGCCGGGCCAGGTACGCCCGGGGTAGCGGGTCGGCTTCGGGCCGCCCACGGGTCGCGGGCCAATTTTACTCTCCTATCAATGTGAATGTTAACATGTCAATGTGAATATTTACATTGTCACGGACCGGGCTGGGCTCGCCCCGGGCCGCCCATGGGACGCGAGTCAATTTTACACTCTTATCAATGTGAATATTCACATTATCAACAGGCTGGGCCGGGCCCGCCCAGGGTAGCCCACGGGCTGCGGGCTGGTTTCGGGCCGCCCACAGGCCGCGGGCTAATTTTACACTCCTATCAATGTGAATGTTAACATGTCAATGTGAATATTCACATTGTACATGGGCGGGGCCCCTATGAACATTCACATTGACGGTGTGAACATTCACATTAGGGTATTTTGGTAATTATGTCACCATAGGACTTATTGAAACATAAGAAAGTAATGTGAACTAAATGGAACATAAGTAGAAGAAAAATGTATTTTGGTGTTCTTATCTCAAATAGGACCTAATGGAATAGTCAAAAAGAATATGGGTTGGATGGAATAAAACTTTTAGAAAGCGAATTTATCAAAAAAGCTCCCATAATAAAACGTTATTGCTGATACTATTTCTCTTCCTTTTTTAAAAAAAAAAGATTTATTATACTTTTTTTTATTCTAAAAATAAAAATAAAAAAACAAAACAGAACAAAAACAAGGTGCTAATTTTAAGTCAATAAATGTTATATTACCAAAAAAGGAAAGAGTACCTAAATTATTTTTATGAACTTGACGAGAAGTGACCTCAATTATTTTGATGATGACAAATTTTACCAGTTAGACATCGTTGTCATTTCAATTATTGTTAATTTGTCAGAATTTATTTAAGGGTGATTATCACCGTTACTTCATTTCTTTACACTTTTTATATGAATTTCTTTTTTTCTCTAATTTTATCTATGTGTGAAATTATTTTTAAGGATAAAATAATAAAATTAAATATATTTTATTACCTCTTTATATTCTTTGAT